ACACACACACACACACATATATATATATATATATACGTACACACACAGTCACACACAGACAGAAACGGACAAACACACACACACACACACATATATATATATAGAATATATACATTTATATGTATATATATATATAAATACCCACCTACGCACACACCCACTCACGCGCACACACACATACACAGACACTTACACACACATATATATATTATATATATATATATATATATATATATATATATATATATATATTTGAATGAGCGTTAATGGATTACTTATATACATCAAATTTGCGAAAGGTTTTCTCGACCTACATACCTGAGACGCCCAGTGCACATAAGTGCGGTTGAAATGGTCTGCCAGATTGACATCTTCGCCATCATCTATAAATGTTTTCATCGACGCTATGTCGCCTTTAATTACTGCGTCCAATAGTGAGCTGGGCATTTTGTTGTGAGTGGTGTAATACTATAATTGAAGAGGAGGTATGTATCTATAAATAGGGTTATATTATTCAAAGTATAAATGTACCAGTTGGAGACTGGTTTGGCGCTCTACTGTGCGCGATCTTATATTGTATGTGCTGTATGACGATTATATTTGCGTGTGAGCTATGTTGTACTCTTATGATATTTAAAAAGTGTAGCATACAGACTTGACAAGGTTATGTGCTCTATAGAGTCTCGCGCGTACATGTAATTACATGTATATATATATATATATATATATATATATATATATATATATATATATATATATGTATGTGTATAATATGCTATACACTGATATATACTTCTGATATATCAGCACACGAAAGACTCTGACTAGTGTTTACTGATATCATACTATAAATACTTGCATTCGGTGTATAATACTAAATACAGACTAACGTGTGTTATCTATTTTATACAGAGCGTGTGACAGTGAAATATAAAAATTGCACCCAGTGATTGCTCCACTCACCGACACCCAGTCAGTCAGTCACCAGTTTCTGAGTTTCATTCACCGAACTGTACTCGCAGTTGCACTCATCAATAGTCAATAGTCAATAATATTCACATCACTCATCACTGTCATCAGTTATTGTCACTTGTTACTCATCCGTACAAATCTAAAAATAGATATTGAAAATACCGCGCCCAATTTTCAATGTTGGGGGGCCCGTTTTATATATTTTAGTGTATGAAACGGCTGGTTTAAAAACATGAAAAGAACGAGGCTTTTTATGTCCCCCTTTGTAAAAAAAATATTATTGTTTTTACATACATATTATGCATATATATCTAACTATATATATATCTAACTATATAATAATAATAAATAAAGAGAGATTCCTTCTCTTGTGTATTTCAGTGAGCTCACCGATTGATGCTGATATATCTAGACATGACCTAAATGAAACAGCTATGATCTAGATAGATAAGCAGACCATCATCAGGGACACATATACGGCTCTATTTGGCTAACATACGACTGTGTGTATGGTGTCATAGTATCCTATACTACACTCTACCCACTCAAATACACATCTAAACGTCGACACCTCAGAGCTACTATTGATATAACTGAAATACCTAGCATTATGGCGTTTATTGAGATAGATGCCACTACACTTGGCGTAGTAGTCGTGGTTGCTGCAGTGGTGTACATAAACCTTCCTAAAGGCTACTTATTATCACTATTATCATCATCTGCTGAGGATACGTCCGCATCTGAGAATACAGCTAAGAAGAAACGGAAAAAGAAGAAAACAGGCGCAAACAGTGAGTTCAATCGAGACGTGGACACGCTTATAGAGGAGGTCGCACATAGCGGTAATATGAACAACAAGCAACGCAAAACAGCTTCTAGGAAAGCAAATGGTACTAAGAATATCCCAACCAATGTTAAAGTAGACGATAGTTTGCCTGTGTATGAAACCGAGGTGCACGGCAGCTTCATTAAGAAAGAGAGTCAAAGGGAAAGGAAAGCCAAAGCTAGGGCCAAAGAGATCAAGGGCGTACCTATGCCGGTAGATGAGAGCGACGACGAGGGTATATATATATATGTATATATATGTATATATATGTGTTGTCTTATATTCTATATGCTATATGCTATGTAAGGGCTTGAATTTTAAATTGCGGTACATACATAGGTGAAGTACGAGGTATTTGTACATACTTTGAAGAACGCTGTGTAGATTTTGAATAACAATGCTTGTTTAGTGTGTGGTATGTTCATTGTTTCAAAGTATCTTCTAGTTTTTCGATTAATTCTTATCCAGCATATGTACATAACTTTGTACAAGTTTGAGTCCAACCATCATATTAGCATTTTATAGAACGCCGAGATGACTGTGCTAGCTCCACACATCTATAAATATAGTTGTTTACGCCTCATATATATATACATACATACATACATACACACACACACACACACACACACACACACACACATATATATATATATATATATGACATACACACACACACACACACAC